CTCTAACATTTCTATGCCATTAATACTGCTAATTAAAGAATATTAATGGTAGTATCAGAATATCTTGAGTAAGGATAGAATTAGCTATAAATTTAAGAACTGCATTTCATCTCCTTCACAAACTTCCACCAAACCACAACATTTTGGAAAAAAAATTGAAAGCAACCAGATAAGGAGCCTGTAAAAAATGAAAACACACAAGCAGAGGAATTTCCTTTATTTATACAATTTTCTACATCCTCTGCTTGACCTCTTACAGACTCCTGATCAATTTATTTTCGTGGGCTCAATGGGGACAAGAGTCTGTAAGGATTTTTGGAAATAACAGTTTATTCTGGAAATTCCTACACAGATTTTTTTTTTTAAATGTAATGTTTAGAAAGTTGATGGAAGGATTTCCTGTTGATGAAGTGGGATGTAGCACCCTAATCACCTTGCACTGCTCAGGGGGTTTATTCCTCTCTCAAGATACAACAATCTGCTGTGTACATTTGAAAACAGATTTTCTTATTAAGTAATTCATATAAAGGAGCAGTAGTGCCTCTCAGTATCCTCCAAAGAAAAAGAAGCTCATGTTTGAACATCACTAAAAACAGAGGAGACAAATTGAATGGTCAGTAGCTGATAGATGAGGGGAAAGTGGATGTAATTTATAGAAAAATTCGTGATTTGGACACATCTGCTTTTCCTGAATGAAAGGATTCCTGCAGCAGCCCTTGCTTTGTTTGTATAGTCTATCACTCACACACACAACACGAGACAACGCCAAAATGGCTCGACCACAACAAAACATGGCTCGCTCCACAAAGCACGGGCAGCCTTGGAATTCGTCCTCCCACTCTGGGACACACCAGTACCCACACCTCGCCAAGGCTGCCCTGCCGGGGGAGCAGCCACCAAAGGGGAGAAGGAATTGTGCTCCGAGAGGCCCCAGGGGAGGCTGGGCTGGCTCAGGTCACCAGGGAGAGCAGATCCTGCCTCTGCGCTCGGCTAAAGCCCCGCTGGAAAACAATCCCAGCCAGGGCGGTGTTAAACCTACAGCAGGGGTGAAGCCCCCCCATTTCACACTGTGGAGAGTAGAGGCAGCACATGCAGGGACACAAAGGTGGCACACACCGGGACACAAAGGTGGCACACACCGGGACACAAAGGTGGCTCCCCTGCTGGAGGTAGGGAGGGCATTGCCCATGTAAAGAAGGGCAGGACCCCAGGGAGGAGGTGCCTGCATTCCATGCGGGTGCTGATCCAAATGGAGAGCACACAATGCGGGTTATGGAGAGGGGCACGACACAAAGGTGACCCCATCTCACACCGGGATGGGGTCACACAACCCCATCACAATATGATGGGGGGGCACCACAACCCAAAGTCCACACAGGGGAAAGCTGTGACCCTCAAGGGGGAGCTTCCCTATCACACCGGGGGGAAACTGAACACAACTCAAAACTAGGGGAGCCTACAGTGGGGGGCATGAACCAAAACAGGGCCCACATCCCACACATGGGGGATACACAACCCAAGGCGGGCGGGCCTACAGCGGGAAGTATGAACCAAAATGGGGTCCGCACTCACACTGGGGGGGCTGTGGCCTAAAGGGGGGGCTCAGACCCCATAAGGAATGGTGCACCCCACGCATCATGGGAGCACAGGCCCCCACAGGGACCCTGCCCCCAGGGCCCCCCCATTACGACACGGGCGGGGGGCGCGCCCCAGGCCACGCCCCCGCGCCTAAAGGGGCGTGACCCGCGCGGCTCGCGCAGCGGGGCTCCCCCGGGAGGGGGCGTGGCCTCGGCCGAGGGGGGCGTGCCCACGGGGGCCACCGGCGGGGGCGTGGCTCCCCTCCCCCTCACCGAGCGCAATGGTGGGGGGGGGGGGGGGGGCGTGAGGGAAAAAGCGGGCGCGTCCCCCGCAACATGGCCGCGGCCTTTCCCACATGCGCCACATGGCGCTCGCTCCGCCCGCCCTCCCGCGCCCCACCGCGCCCGCGCTCGGCGGCGGGAAGCGGAGCCGCCGCTGCCCGCTGAGCCCGGCGGGGCTGGCGGCACCTACCCGAAGCCATGGCGGCGGCGCTGAGGGGCGGAGGGAGCGGAAGGAGCGCAGGGAGCGACCCGCCCGCCGCGCCGGCCGCGCGCACACTGAGGCACCCGCAGCTCGCGCGGACTGCGGGGCCGGGCGGCCAATCAGAGAGTGCGGCGTCTACCACTCGCTGGGGAAGCGGGGGGGGAGGGGAGGGGAGCTGGGCCGTGCCAAGGTACAGCGGGCGGGGGGGGGGGTTGGACCAAGGGGAGAGGGTGCGAGGATGTGCGGGCGCAGCGTCAAAGGATTAAATTAATTTAATTAATTAAATTAATAAACTCACAGGGCACGGTTAGGGTGCGCAGAGGGAAATGAGAGGTTTGCACACCCGCCTTTCAGCAGCAGCCCCTCTGTTTCCCTCAGTACCCCACTTGTGCATCACCGTTTGTAGCAGATGCTAAATGGGCTTAGAGAAAACATCCAAAATCTGGGTCCTAAAGGAAAAATAAGAAAGGTTTGCCAGCGTTTCTGAGTATCCTAAAAAGCCAAATATCAACCTGGAGAATGGTTTTCCAAAGAAAGGGACGGGTCATGATCTTGGGAGCCACTTCTGTGAAACGTGAGGGTTGGTTTGCTTCAGAGAGGAAGAGTGATGAAAGGAGAAGACAGCAAAAGCGACCTTGATTATTTAATCTGATTATTTTTAGAAGTTGTATTTCTTGTTTCACATCAAACCACCTTCTTGTTAGAGTTGGTAAGTGAACAGTTGCACCTTTCTGTCTAGGGACAGTCTGCACATGCAGACTGAGAACAGTGAGGATTTACCCTGTTTTTGTTTTTTTTTAATTTTCAAGGCAGTGAGGAGCTTTCTCTCATTTCAGCTGAATGCTTTGAGCAGATTTGAGAGAAGTTGGGTTGTTTCTTTTCCCCCTGGGCGTAGCAGCAGGAGGCAAATCCCACTGCCACAGCCAAAAATAAGTTTGGGCAAAACAAGCAGTGACTGGAATGATTAATTAAAGAAAAAAAAAAAAAAAGAAAAAAATAAAAGGGGGTTGAGCTCCCTGCCTGTCTTTTGGTTTCTCCTTGAGAAACTTCTCCTCCAGCCATGATGCCTTCTACTGCTCTGTGAGTCTGTCTGTGCCAACCTGGGAGCTCACAAAGGGATTAGGGCAGATCCCAAACAATGCTCCCTAGACAGGGGATGTGGGGGATGTATAGCCTCTGAGTGTTTGTGCATTCCTCAGGGTTTCTCATAGGTGGAAATGGAATTAATTCAGAGAGTGTTTCAGGCTTTTGTGCCTGCCTGCTGGTAAGTCTGTGCTATGGTCCCAACCAAAAACTTTGAAGCTGAGATGTGGGAAAAACATCAGCCCTTCAACCCTCTGCTCTTTCCCCTTGCCTGGAAATTATTCCAGCTGCTTCAAATCCTTCTCCACGTTGCAAAATCAGAGGTGGTGTGGGACGATTAAGCCAATATTCTGGGGGATTGAAGGCAGACAACACAAACCTACCACAGGTTTTGGTTTGAGCATGGCAGGAACAGCTGTGGTGGTGGATGTTCCACTCAGCCTTTGAGTCCCATGTCCAGTTCTGGGGCTCTCAGTTCAGGAAGGACATTGAGGGGCTGCAGCAGAGAAGGGGACAGAGCTGGGGAAAACTCTTGTGAAAAATGCCCGTCACTTGTTTTTAAAATTTAAAAAATTTAATAGTAATAAAATGGTTATACAAATAGTAATACAATTAGAATATTAATAATTTGGACAATTTGGATTAGGACAATATGAGACAATAAAAACAAAGAGTTACGCATGTCCAGGTACCTTTTTCTGAGCAGCAGGAGCCCAAAAAAGGACACAGTTAACAGAGGATTAACCCTTAAAAACAACAGCCTGTTGCATATTCATACATCTCATACATGATGCATAAATTCCATTCAAATACAGAATTCTGTCTGGTCAGTGTCAACTTCTTCCTCTGAATCCTAAGAGCTCTTCAGGGCTGAGCAAGGCAGGAAGAAATTCATTTCTTCTGATAATGGGGCAATAAATTCTTTTTCTCTGACAGATTTAGGTGTCCTGTGGCTGCTATCTCACTGCGAGTCCTTTCTTTAGAAAAAAAGTATCTTGCATAGCATAGTTTCTATTTTAACCTTATGTTATAACCTAAAACTATATTTAACACAGTAATTAAGAGAATTAATGCAGCGTAACTTTCTAACATATCACATATAATATTCATTTTAATATTTTCAAAAGGACAATAATAAAATACACATTTATCACAGAGAGGACCTTCTTGTGCTCTACAATTATCTTACAGGAGGTTGTAGCCAGGTGAGGGCTGGGCTCTGCTTCAAGGGACAGGGTGAGAGGATTTAGTCATAAGCTGCATCACAGCAGGTTCAGGATGTGGGAAATGAGGAGGAATATATGAGGAGGAATTCCTTCATAGAAAGGGTGATTAAACATTGGAAGGGGGTGCCCAGGGTAATGATGGAGTCTTTGGAGTCTTTGAGGTCATCCCTAGAGAAGATTACAGAAGCACTGAATGTGGCACACACAGTGCTCTGGGCTAGTTGACATGGTGGTGTTCATCAGCCACGGGCTGGACTCGATGATCCCAGAGACCTTTTCCAGGCTGACTGATTCTCTATTCCCAGCAGCCAGACCCTGAGGCTCGGTGGAGTGGGTGGTGGCTTAGATGGGTCTCCCACACCCTGGGGAGCAGTGTGGGCACACCCGGCTAGAACCCAGCCCTGAGCGGGCTCCCAGCGAGACATCACACCTCCCTCTGCGATATTTCCCCTTCTGAACAGGGAAAAGATAACAATAATTAAATAAAAACCCAAATGAGGGGGTGGAGAGAGAGAGAAAGCGAGAAACCCCCCTCGTTTCCATGGTAACGACAGCAAAGCGCCTCTTGTTGCCATGGTAACGGCCAGGCCTTCCGGCGTTGCCCGGAAGCGGCGGGCGCGCGGGGCAGCAATGGCGGCGCCCTCGGCCCCGCCGGCCGCCGCCGCCCTCACGGTGCTGCTGTCGCTCGGAGCCTCCGCGTCCGGGCTGCTGCGGGCTGTCCCCGCCGCCCGCTCCGCCGCCGCGTTGCGCCCCGCAGCCCTGCACGACGGGGAAGGTGAGCGGGGCCGCCGGCGGGTGCAGCCGCTGCCTCCTTGGTCCCTCTGCTCGCCCCCTTCCGTGCCTGCCCCAAATCCCTTTGTGTCTCCTTTCTCCGTCCTTCCTCAAATCCCAGCGCAGCTTTTGTGTTCCCTCTCTCCGGTCTTCTCCTTGTCTTGCCCTGGACCCCGTGGTACCACCAAGCCCCCATTTCTGTTCACTTCCTCAAGCCTGTCTCCGAGTCCGCTGCTCCTCCCCGTCCGTCTCACCGTGTCCTTTTCTTCCCTCTCTCCCTGTCCCTTCCCTCTCTCCGTGTCCTTTTCTTCCCTCTCTCCGTGTCCCTTTTCTTCCCTCTCTCCCTGTCCCTTCCCTCTCTCCGTGTCCCTTTTCCCCCCTCTCTCCGTGCCCTTCCCCTGACCTGTCCCGACCCTGCTGCTCACCCATCTCAGTCCCTGGACGTCAGGCTGCTCCTCCACACCCTCATCTCTGTTCTTTGACAGTCAGCCCAGTGAATAACCGTGCGGGGAGCTTGAGGGATTTGTGTTTCTCACTCCCTGTGGTATTCCCAGAATGATTTTTATCACACTTTTAATTCCAGCTTACCCCTGTGCAGTGATTTCCCCTATCAGTCCAGGGCTCTGAGCTGATGGGTGATTCCACCATCTCCTCACCTGTCTCCAGGGGCTGCACTGCATTGTTTTATTTCTCACTGGTGTGAAATAAAACAATGCAATTTTTTCTGGCTGTGAAACTGAGGTTGATGGGAGGGAGGTGGAGAAATGTCTCAATCCCTGCTGTGTGCCATGGGGAACACCTAAACAGAGGGTCCAGAAACACTTCTGAGCTGTGACAACCTCCAGCCTGGTGTTTGTGAGGGTCCCCAGGATGAGGGAAGAGATGAGAATCTGACTCCTTGTTCTCAGAAGGCTGATTATTATATTATATTATATTATATTATATTATATTATATTATATTATATTATATTATATATTATTATTATATGATATTATTCTAATATTATTCTAATATTTTCTAATATTTTTCTATTATGTTATATATTATATAATGTGTAATATATAATATATTTTCTATTATACTTTCTGTATTATATTATATTATATTACATTACATTACATTACATTATATATTACATTATAGAATACCTATACTAAAACTATACTAAAAATGTTCATTCATTAACAAGAATGAATAATAAAAACTCAAGGCTGACTCAGAGTCCAACCCACTGGCTGTGATTGGTCATTAATTAAAAATAATTCACATGGAACCAATCAAAGATGCACCTGTTGGTAAATGATCTCCAGACCACATTCCAAAACAATCTGATAATTATTGTTTTCATTCTTTTCTGAGGCTTCTCAGCTTCCCAGGAGAAAATCCTGGGCAAAGAGGCTTTTTCAGAAAATATCCTGGTGACACCAGATATTTTTGGTGATGAAAATCAGCCTGCCAGCAATTTAAGAACTGTTTATCTTTTTGCCAAAATCATCAGTGCTGTAACAGTTATTTTTATGTCTCTTGCCTTCCCTTTTAATGAGACTGAAATTTACTACAGATGCTGTTGCTTTTTTCCAGGCAGCTTCCCAGGAAGCAGCAAGAGCCAGCCCATATGTTTGTGACACCCAAGACAGCACTTTTTTCCACTCTGTCTGCTTATTTATGCCTGGTTTTAAAGGCCTCAGGTTCCTTCTCTTCTCAACCAGGATAGAAATAAAAGCTCTTAATGAATCCCATGGGCTCACTCTCCCTGTGCTCAAGCCTGTAATTGTTTTCCAGCAGCCCCAGAGCTGTCTGTGCCTGTCTGAGGTGCTGCTGTGCTCAGTTCACAGGTTGATCACCTACATCTTCATCTATGAGGACCTGACCTCCCTGGCCTGTGGTGCTGTCATCATCTGGTACTTTGCTGGCAGCTTTGAGAAGAACGTGGGCACAGTGAAGCACTGCATCCTCACTGCCACCTTCTCTGTGCTCTCTGCCCTCCTCTACCTCTTCCTCCAGCCCCTTGTCTCCAGGCTGCTGGAGGTGGGAGATGCCAAGGGGTTCATGCCAGTGGCTTTTGCCATGCTGGGGGTGTCCACTACCCGCTCACGCATGAAGAGGACTCTGCTTTTGGGGTACAGAGTTCCTGTGCTGCTGGTGCCGTGGTTTGGGCTCTGCCTGGCGTGGTTTGTCCCCCATTCTTCCCTCTTGGGGAACCTGTGTGGGCTCCTGGTTGGGGAAGCCTGTATCCTTTGTGAGTGGGAAGCCCTGGGCCAGAATGGGATGGTGGTGGGAAGGAGGTGCTGTAGTTCTCACTGCTGGCTTTCCCTGCACTCTTGCCCTGCACTGAACCCTCACTGGCTTTTCTCATCTCATCCCATTCTGCATTTGTGTTTCACTCACACTGCCCCCAACCCTCACTGGCTTATCCCATCCCATCCCATCCCATCCCATCCCATCCCATCCCATCCCATTCCATTCTGGATTTGTGTTTCACTCACACTGCTCCCAACCCTCACTGGCTTTTCTCATGCTCATCCCATTCTGGATTTGTGTTCCACCTCTCACTGCCCCCAACCCACACTGGCTTTTCTCATGCTCATCCCATTCTGCATTTGTGTTTCACTCACACTGCCCCTAACCCTCACTGGCTTTTTTCATGCTCATCCCATTCTGAATTTGTGTTCCACCACTGGCTTTTCTCATGCTTGTCCCATCCCATTCTGGATTTGTGTTTCACCTCTCACTGCCCCAGCCCTCACTGGCTCATCCCATCCCATTCGGGATTTGTGTTTCACTCACACTGCCCCAACCCTCACTGGCTTTTCTCATGCTCATCCCATCTCATTTTGCATTTGTGTTTCACTCACACTGCCCCCAACCCTCACTGGCTTTTCTCATTCTCTTCCCACCCCATTCTGCATTTGTGTTTTGATTTGTGTTTTGTTGCTGTCCAGGTGGTCACGACACAAAGCAGAGACTACAAGCAGTCTCAGATGGCAGCTCTTTATTATTGAACATGGCTGACTTTTTATACACTTTCTAATTGTTTATGCTTTTTCTACCCTAACTATTGGCTACAATAAGTCAACATAACACTTTTAGTAAAAAGTTACAGTGACTTCAACTAACTTTCTAAAAATACCTCGTCCAGCTGCAAAATTCTCTTATTTTTCTTCAATTTCTCACTTCTCTCAGTCTCTTTAGTTACAACCTTAAAGAGATCTCTTTATCAGCTTCTTCTTGATTCTCAGCTTCTTTTCACTCCTTTAGCTAACAAGCCCTGTTAGCCCCTTCCACAGTGTTCCACCTCTCACTGCCCCAACCCTCACTGGCTCATCCCACCCCATTCTGCATTTGTATTTCACTCACACTGTCCCAACCCTCACTGGCTTTTCTCATGCTCATCCCATTCTGCATTTGTTTCACTCACACTGCCCCTAACCCTCACTGGCTTTTCTCCTGCTCATCCCACCCCATTCTGCATTTGTGTTTCACTCACACTTCTCCTAACCCTCACTGGCTCATCCCACCCCATTCTGCATTTGTGTTTCACTCACACTGCCCCAGCCCTCACTGGCTTTTTTCATCCCACCCCATTCTGGATTTGTGTTCCACACTGCCCATTCTCAGTGCCTGCAGAGAAGGTGGAGCTGAGGAGGGTGATGGTCTCTGAAGGTGCTGCTGGATAGAGCTGGGAGAATTCCCCAGAGGAAATGCTTGGAACAGAGGGGCTCTCTGTTTCTGTGTCAGAAATGCGTGTGTTGTCCTCAGCTCTCCTTAACAAGCTCCTGATCTCAGATGGCCTTGGCTACTGTTTCTGCTTGGATTTCCCAGAGTCTGTGGGCTCTAAGCTGGACCAGGTGTTCCCTTTCACTCTGCTGAAGAGAATACCAGGGCTGAAATACATCCCAGGGTCCTTGGCAGAGAGGAGAGCCTCTGGAAACAACGTGTAAGTACAGGAGTTCCTGTGAAACGTTTGTAGGGGAATTTTGAGGTGTGAGCAGAGGCCTTAAACCATCTCTCAAAGCTGCATTGTGCCTCTCCTGTTCACACAGTGGGTGCCATGGGAAGCAGAGTCACCCACTGATGTTACACTGGTGATATTAGTGTGATTAATGAATCTCTACACATTAATTCAACCAGGTCTTTAAATGGAGGTTCTAGACCTCTCCTTTGCTGCAAGGGCAGTGTCTACATATGGGAATATTGCAGCTCTGGCTGACAGGGAAGCTAAGTTGTGCAACTCTGCCCCAGCTTCAGGCAGTTGTTCCTGGCTATGTGGCTCCCTGGGCCATGATCCTTATCTTTACCTGCCCCACCTCTCCTGCCAGGAATGCTGTGAAGTGAGTTGTGTCCAATCCTACTTAGGACCAGAGCATTGTAAATTAAGGATGGCACTTACAAAGTTCAGTGCAGAGCTTTTGGTGTCTTTTAACCAAAGACCTTTTGGTGTCTTTTAAACCTTTCAGCAGGTTTTCAGTGTCAAGGCAATGTTGCTTTACAGAAAAGAAACCTTAGGGCCCACATGCAGGAAAGGTTTTAAGTTTAACACAAACCATGAGAATTCATTTGTACTCTAAAAAGCTTCAAAATGCAGGTCAAATATTTACTTATTCTAAGGTGTCCTTTCAGTTTCACAGAGGTAAAATAGTTTTCTATTCAGGGTTACATTTTATGTATTGTTTAAGCCATCAACTTGTTGTAAAGTTTTATTTGAAGTGGAAGCATTCCCAGGTGTTTGCACTGCCCTCACCCATGGGAAACCATAAAAACAACCCTTGCCTGCAGCAGGAATGTCCCCCAGGTCCATCAGGGCACTCAAAACCTGTGAGTGCTTGCAGGGGAGGACAGACAGAGCCAGAATTTGTGTTTTTCCCTCCTGTGCCAGTGCAGCTTTTGGGAGGAGAGGGAGCCTGGCTCTGTGCTAAGCCTGTGTCAGCAGCAGTCCCAGCCTGCTGTGCACACACCTCAGTGCCTGAACCTGCCTCCTTTGCTGAGGTGACACAGACTGTTGTGACACAGAGCTATTTACATGAACATTTGACTATCAAACAGAGGGTGGGAAGGTGTTTCTAGGATGCTTCCACTGCTGCAGCTGAATTTGCATGTCTGTGTCTTAGATACAACTTCTGTAAGTGCTTCTGGAGTTTAATTTTTATTATTTTGATGCTTATTCCAAGCAAAAGCTCTTAATAGTTTGGGATTTGTTTTAATTTTAAATTTTCATAAGGTTCAGGCATTAAATGGCTGCAAGACAGGAGATATTTCTTTGAAGTCCAAGCCTTGGCATCGTGTTTGTGTCCACAAATAAAAATCCAAACTCAACCCCACACCTCAAATAATTAAAAAGAAATCTCCAAGCCTGAAAATCCCAGCATGAGCCAGTCTCTACTTCTTGCTGGGAACTTGGCACCCATGGCTTGATGAATATTGTCTGGATTCTCAGCTCTCATCCTCCTGTGCGTGGGCCGAGCAGCACTCCTGAAGTCCCAGAGGCTGAGGCTTGCAGGCAGATTGCCTCTCTCCTGATAGGTTTTGGCAGGATGAGTCATGCCTTCTGCTGGCAACCCCTTGCTTCTGAATGATTAATTTTATTTCTAACACTCTCTTTTATTTCTAACTCTTTCCTCCTTCCTTTTTTTTTTTTTCCCCTTTGCTCCATACTCTGGGCTCTTACTCGCACCAAAGGCCTTTTGTGTTTTCTTGATAAATAACACTTGGCAGCTGTAAGTTCTCCTGATTAATGACTTGGCAGATGTGTCACTCACAGGGCAGGGAGGATGTGCCCAGGGATCTCAAAGCATGTTGAAATTTGGCTTTGTGTATTCCTTGCACAAAGAGTCTGGGGCCAAGAGCCAGGCTGGTTCAGTGGGTGTGGAGTGAGAGTGGGTTGGGAGTGGGAACAGCTGTCCTAGGAGGCCACTAAAGCCATTTTTTACTCAAGTGCTGCTTATAATGAGAGCTCCTGTTGTAGTGAATCCCTCTGATGGATTGCAGTGACCTCTCTGAGCGCTGGTCAGGAGGAAATCTGCCCCCAGGGCATTTCCAGCACTAATTGGGCAATGGCAGCTCTGAGCACAGTGTAACCTTCTGTTTTCTTCCTGCCCAGGATTAAAGCCGTGCCTGGCACTTACCCCACCCAGAGCTACCAGTGCCCATCGCCTCTGGCTCTTCCTGCTCACCCCAGTGCTCAGGGCCAGGCCTTTCATCACAGCCAGGCTCTGGGACAGCAGGCACCTCAGCGTGGCTCTGCTGCAGGACACAGCCCCAGCTCTGCCCCCTGCCAAGCCAGAGGTGCCTTTGGAGAGTGCCCTGGGCAGGCTGGAGCCTCACCAGGACAGTGCTGCCAGCTGGGCAAATTCTCTGTCCCACAGCCACCCACAGCCATGGGCCTTCAGCCAGCACCAGGGCCCCCAGCAGCCCCAGTGGGGCCTGTTCCAGCTGAATTTACCAGAGTGCAGGTGTACTGATCCTCCAGAGAGCAGCAGGACTCAGGGCACGAGTGCTGAGTGAGGCTGGCACAGCAGTGCATTGCTGGATCTGTGCTGTGTCTGGGTGAGTGTTGGTAACTCCAGGGAAAGCCATTCCCTTGCTACTTGAATTATATTTCCTTTATAATTTTTTTTATTTTATTTTTTGATGTGGCTGGAGGATGGGAACTGTGTCACCTCAGTGAACTTCTCATCCTTTTTAAGTCTTTCTTCTTTGCTGCATTTAGCAGCTGCCTTTTTCCACAATTCCACTGGAGTTCCAGTGCACCAGGTCCCCAGGCCAAGGTAGGAACCTCGGTGGCAAACAGAGCAAACCTGGGCTTTAACTAAGATTTGCTCATGCTCATTGCAGCTTTAACTGAGCTGCAGCAATAAGCAATAGGCACTTCTCATTTACATTCCTGTCTTTTTTACAGCTTTGATGTAGCTAGAACCCAAAAGAGTGGGAATCATATGAGCTTTAGTTTGTAACTTAAAATTAAATGGAGTAGGACAATGTCTGTTCTGGTGACTTTTCCACTTAAGAGAGTGCCTTGAAGGGGGCTTGTTACACCAACCTGGGGCAGGAGGAGAGAATACAGAGTACCTTCTTCTGCTCCAAAACTCAGCTCTAAAATGCTGAAGGTCCTGTGCCTGCATCAATGCATTGCCTTCATTATCTGAGAGCATTGCACCAGCTCAGCCTGTATCACCAGCCCTTGGCAACCTCAAATGCCTGTGAAGTAGTGAGAGACTCTTCAATAAGGGATTTTGGCCCTTTGTGGAGCAAATATTTATGAATCCAAGGAGCTGGGAGGGACCTTAACAATGGGTTAGAAGAATTAAGTGGAATGTAGCAGTGCTGTTGGGGGTGTTCACACTGCTCAGCTTCAGCAATCTCACCCACCAATATTAGCACAATCTCTCAGGTTTTTTCAGAGCTGGTGGGCAAGTGTGTGGGAGAGAGGAGTTTTCAGCCAGGGATTTACAATAGGATTCACTGTTTGGTGCCTGAGGCTATAATGAAGGAGTTGCTGGGATTTGAGCTTTATTCCCAGCTGTGTAGCCCAGTGTGCAGTGCCCAGGAGGAATCTGCTGTCTCCGTGGCTGTAAATCAGCCAGGATCTCAACAACTGCCCTTGACTCTCCTTGGAGTTTTGCTGTGCTCCATAAAAAAGTGCTCCATGAAGCACCAAGTGCCATTCCTGCTCTTGGAGATGTTCTTGCTGTGCCTCACCCATCCCCAGAAACTCCACAGCCTCGGGGCTCCTCCCTGCTCTCCAGTGAGCCTGCCAGAGGCAGCTCTGGCACATTCCAAACCACATCCCTGCCTCTTTCATTTTTCCATCATCAGGGTGAGAACAAACCCTGAGTTGTCACCCAGCTGCTTTACTTCTCCAGCAGTCCCTCTGGAGTCACTGCCATGGTCCCATGTGGGATCCAGGGGCTTCCTTCTGGAGGAGACCAAAGTCAGTGTTGACAACTTGCACCTCACAGGAGTAAAACATGAGTAAGAAGCTCTTGTGAAGGTGAGCACCCAGGCAGAGCTTTCAGCATCAGCTTGGGAACCAGCTTGGAGTTGGGGGACAACTCTGTTTCATACCTGATTATTTCCTCTGTGGGATCACAAGTGGACTTGATTTTATGGTCCTCTTTTTCCTGCTGACAGCAATTGCATTGTTATACTTTAGTGTGGAGCAAGAGCAGGATAAGGAGTTTGTTTGGAATTTAAAAGCATGTTTTTAATACCAGGAAAGAAATGCTAGAGATAACATTGAAATGTTGACACTCCACTCCTGTTAGTGCCTTGATTTTTCCTCCTTGTGAAATCCTTGCCTGTAAACTGAGCAATTTTACCACCGATTTTTTTTTACCAGAAGGGTGATGAGGATCAACAGCAATCACAAATGTTGTGTGTCTCCAAAGTGTGAACTTGAAATAGAATCTGAAAGATGGACTGGTTTTCTCTGGGATTGTTTATTAGTGGGGAGCTGGAGCTGCCCCTTGGGGGATGGGTGGGGTGGGATCAGTGGGGTGGGATCAGTGGGGTGGGATCAGGGGTGGGTTCAGTGGGGCAGAATCAGTGTGATGGGATCAGTGGGACTAGTGGGATGGGATCTGTGGGATGGGATCCATGGGATGGGTTCTGTGGGATGGGATCAGTGGGATCAGTAGGGTGGGATCAATGGGATGGGATCCCTGGGGTGGATCAGTGGGATGGGATTTGTGGGGCAGGATCAATGGGATGGGATCAGGGAGGTGGATCAGTGGGATGGGATCTATGGGGTGGGATCAGTGGGGCGGGATCAGTGGGATGGGATCAGGGGTTTGGGATCTGTGGGGTGGATCAGTGGGATGGAGTCTGTAGGATGGGGTCCCTGAGGTGGGATCAGTGGGATGGGATCCCTGGGGCAGGATCAGTGGGATGGGATCTCTGGAGCAGGATCTGTGGGGTGGAATCTGTGGGAAGGATCAGTGGGATGGGATCTCTGGGGTGGGATCTGTGGGAAGAGGGATCTGTGGGGTGGGATCAGTGAGATCCCTGGGGTGGGATCAGTGGGATGGAATCTGTGGGGTGGGATCAGTGGTGTGGGATCCTTGGGGTGGGATCAGTGGGGTGGGATCGATGGGATGGAGTCTGTAGGATGGGATCCATGGGATGGGATCAGTGGGATGGGTTGGGATCAGTGGGTTTAGTGGTGTGGGATCAGTGGGATGGGATCAGTGGGATGGGGTGGGATCACTGGGATGGGATCAGTGGGACGGGCACAGCAGTGTGTCAGGCCGGTGGCTTTGGTCGCGCAGTGAGGACGAGCGCTGGGGACAGGCGGTACTACAGCTGCAATCCGCTGGAATCCCGGTGTTTTTCCTGCTCCAGCTCCATCAGTGATGCGGTGAGGGATCGCTCTCCCCACAGAGCTGTCCCAGGGATGCGTTTCCAGGGAACATTTCCTGGCTTTAGTGCCAGAGAGCCCTGTAAGAGTCACCGCCCCAGTCCCAGTGGTGCAAACCTCCCTCCAGCAGGGAAGGAGCACGTCCCAGCCATGAACCTTTCTGTGCTGGGACAACACAACTGCCACAGCCTTCCCGGTGAGCCCCGAGGACAGGGCTGAGCACAAAAGCACAGTTTGGATTTATTTTCATTCTGCTCCCAGATATTTTGGGAGCTTCTCAGTCGCCATGGCAGATCACTCGGTCTCTCTGGTTTCTGCAGCTTCCACCATGTCCCCAAGGAGTGTTCAGAGTCCAGCTGCACCTCCTGGTCACGTGCAATGTGTTGGACCTGTCTTCAGTGCCTTTCAGATGGCTGTTTGTGGGGATTTCTTTTCTGTTCCCTGCTTTCCTGAGGGCATCCATTCCACAGTGAGATGCTCTTGGGCAGTGGAGTCCAACAAATCCTCAGGGCTGAGTGTGAACTCAGAACCCATCACCCAGGGAAGTGAAGTTGCTGAGAGGGAGGAAACAGGTTGGGATGAGGATTTGTAAACATGTCTAAGGCTGAGAGGGGGATTTAAATTTGGAAGAGAGGGAAGTAAAAGTCATCAGCTCACTGGGCTTTGGCATCTGCCTGTCTCAGCTCTCAGTAATGTTACTCATCACACATTGCAGTACCCACTCATTTCCTTGGTGGGGAGACAGAGAATTGAAGTTCCTAAAGCAGGAAAAAAAAAATTAAAAAAGAAGAAAAGAAAAAAAAATCATAACCTCCCAGTTCAGCCTGGGATGGCTGCCCCTGAGGTGACTGCCCTGGGAACGTGCTGTCCCTGGAGGTTGTTATTCTGTGCCTCTGGCTCATTCCTAGTAAAACTACCACTGCATCCCATGCCAGGGTGTGCAGAGAGTCCAGAAATCCCCGTGGGTTGCCCCCATGTCCTCAGAGGGTCACTGCAGAGGGACAGTCTGGGGACAGTGCTGGGAGCAGAGCCAGCTGCTCCCTGTCCTTGCAGTAGCTGTCCTAGCATGGGAGGGATGGTCTGGATGTCCAAGTCCATCCCCTCTGCATGGTGCAAGGGAAAAGGAGTCAGGGGTACATGAGGAAAGCAGAACTGACTTTGACTCCATTGCTGCCCCATGCAGGAGTGAGAGGGGACCCACAAAGAGGGGAGGCTGGCAGGGGACATTGGTGCTGGCAGGAAAATGGGTCTGTGTTTGCTTTCCTGCCATTAACTTTTGGCCATGCAGACATCCTGACTGGGGGCCAGGTTCCCTGTGCCAGGCCAGGACACTGCCAACACCACCTCCGTGGCTGTCCCATGGTGTCCCCTGTCTGCTGCCACTGTGGGGGCTCTGTGGCCAAAAGTTCAGCCTCAAAAGTTCACTCTCTCCTCTGCTGGGAACAGAGGAGAGCTGGGAGAAATAGGCAGAGAGACAAAGCACTGACCAAAGAGGTCTCTGTGGGCTGCAGGACTCTGCTGCAAACCCTGGGGGGTTTGGGCTGGGTGTGATGAGCCCCCAGCCCCTTCCCTGTGGGGACAGAATGGGACAGGCTGTGCCATAATGCCAGTCTGGGCACCTGATGGGATGACCCCAGCCCTGGACCTGCTGTGTCCTGCTGTCCCCTCAGGGCCACTGGGATCTTTTAACTCATGTCCATTCACCCTGTGGGCAAGTGGACCAGGCAAGTGCTGCCCCTTCAAACCTCTGAAACTTTGATTCTTTCCCTGCCTGTTCCACTGTGTTATTTGGGGATGAAACCTTTGAAACTTTGATTCTTTCCCTGCCTGTTCTACTGTGTCACTTGGGGATGAAACCTTTGAAATTTTTATTTTTTTCCTGCCTGTTCCACTGTGTTATCTGGGGATGAAACTTTTGAAACTTTGATTCTTTCCCTGCCCCACTGTGTTATTTGGGGATGAAACCTCTGAAACTTTGATTTTTTTCCCCTGCCTGTTCCCCTGTGTCACTTGGGAATGAAACTTTTCAAACTTTGATTCTTTCCCTGCCTGTTCCATTGTGTTTTTTGGGGGTGAAACCTTTGAAATTTTGATTTTTTTCACCCTATGGTCACAGACCAGCCACCCCAGGGGGCTTCCATAGGGTCAGTCCCAAAGCTGCTGTGAGTGGCACCAGTGTCACTTTGATTTTTTAAGATTTTCTAAGCCTTCTGATGTTTACATTCTTGTAACGAACTTTCTCACATACTTTTTGTAAATAACTTATTGTTTTGCATTCTTTCATGGAAGAAGAGAAATTTGATGGACTGTTGGTTTGTCCAGTGTCATTGGAGAGGTGGCACTGTCACCCTCCAATCCACTGTCACTTTTGGAAATCTATAAATGTTGGAGTCAGAAAATAAACTTCCCTTTTTTCACCTTGAGAGCAGCAGTGTCCTATGTCCTGTAGTGACAGCACCAGGACTCAGGTGACCTCACAGCCCTGGACCCTCTGCTCAACTGCTGTCAGGAAAGTGTCCCTGAATCCCTGCGTGTTCTTTGGGTCTGTGCCCCCTCCTCACACCTCTTCAGGTGCCTGCCAGGCCCAGCTCGAACTTTGGACCTTCCCCAAGTGATTTATTGACTCTGGAGCAAACGTCAACACCACGCTGGCGTCAGGACGGTGACTTTGGATGTGCCAAGGGACCCAGCCTGGGGTGACCCCACACAGCTGTGGGGCTGTTCAGTGACAAGCTGTCCCTCTGGCTTTGGTCAAGCTGGGAACAGCAGAGTTGTAACTCAGCTTCCCTCTCCCAAAAAAACCCAACAGGGAGGAGAGCAGCAGTTCCTGTGGTATCTGAGGTCTGGGTTGTGAAATGTCCCACTGGGAATGCTGGGGATGCTTCCAGAGCTGCTTGAGCAACTTCCTGCTGTGGCAGCAAGAGAAAGGTCACCCCAAAATACCGAAATCATCCGGGCTGTGGTTACATCAGAGCATGTGCTTGCCCCTGGCTCCATGGAGGATGGCAAGGACTGGGTGCCAGCCCCAACATGGGGTCCCCTTGTCCCCCCACGGGGCCCTGGTGTGGGCAATGACCCTAGGGGAGCTGGGGGTCCCACACCATGGGCACCCAGCAGCGGCCACAGACAGGGCTCCTGGGTCTGCAGGTGCTGGCTGAGCCAGAGTCAGTGTCCAACACTGACCCCAGTTCACGACCTCACAGTGCCCCAAGCCCTGCTCCCACTGTCACCCCAGCTCTGACCCCGCCATGCCCCAACACTCGCCTCCATACCTCAAACTACAATGTTCACCCCAACCTGTCCCCTCTCTGAGCCTGCCCCCAGGCCGAACCCCTGCTGGGATCCACGGTGGCCTCTGGGCCCTGTTCTGCGCCCTGACCCCACCTGTGACCACCCCACGCCCTGACCGTCCCCTGACCCTCACCTCACCCGGCCCCTCCCGCCGCTCCTGTCCCTTTAAGACCCCTGTCCTGGGGCTGTACCACGCGCCGCCGCAGAGGGGTGATCTCCACACGCGGGCGCGCTCTCCGCCTATTATCGGGCGGCAAGGGCGGAGCGTGCTCCCCCGCGGGTGTGCCCGAGTGGTGCGGTCCGCCGTACGTGCCGGCCGCGCCGGGGCCGCGGGAGCCGCCAGCGCCAGACGGGCCGGAGCGGCGGTGAGTGCGGGGAGCTGCGGCGCCGGGGGCGTGTGGTGAGGAGGGTGCGACACCGGGGCTTCTCTGGGGCTGAGCCCCGCCGCCGGGGCCCTCTGTGCTGGGGAGGGGCGGTCCGGCATCCCCCGGTGGGGTTGGCGTGGCATGGGGGCTGTTTCTGTGTTGGGGGCACTGGCTGTGTGTTGCGGGCATGGCTGCTGTCCCCCTGTCGGGGTGAATGGCACCGCTGGTGCTGGCGGGGACATCGATGTGAATGGATCTCTTTTTGGGGGGGACTGGGATGGCCAGAGCCCCCTGTTCACTGGGAGGTGTGGTGTGAGTGGGCATCCTCTTACTGGGAGTTACTGAGTGTTTAGAGATCCTTCTTATTGGGGGGATCGGGGAGGGCTGAGATCACCAGTCCTTATC